CTGTACCTTGTCTCCATATAAAGCATAGTTATAAGTATAAGTTTATTACGTCTGCAAAAGGCACACGTGGAAAAGAAAATGAGCATCTATACAAAGAACAGTGTGCTTATAAACAAAAAACTCAAATACTAAAACAGGTAACTTCGGAATCAGTCTCACAAAACTATGACTCTTGGTTCCTCAGTATTGTGACTATACGATGCTTGAACTGAGCTTGTGACAGAGTAACCGGTATGTTCTTTGCCATGTTTATATATACTACCGCTCATAGCGTGGAATCAGCTTTTGGCAGCGTAGATTAGTTTTTTTGGGTGCTTTTAAGGAGATTCTTCATAGAGCTCCGCCTAAGTTCTCGAACGTGTTCTAAAAACATTGGTGAACCCTGACGAAACAAATAGACCTGTGTAGTCGTTGTGAGTTTTTGAGAATTTTTTTTTTAGACGCACCACTCCCCCAAGTGGATAATATAACGACCCCTTTATCACATCTCGTACCACTCATCAAATCATATCATCAAACCCTCTTTTTTATTAAAGCAACAGTTCAGGAACGGTTTCGCGGGAAAAAACCACCAATAATGAAGTTGTAGATGAAAACCAGACGATTAATGTATGAAAAACTGGAAAAAAACGTCGGGGAGGGTCTTAGACAGGTACTCTCCCTCTGCCGCTCAGCAATGGATAAAGACGCACGTTGGACGAGTTGTCTGAACGTGCCCGCTGTAAACGCGCTCCATTTTTCAATCAATTTTCCCTGTGGTCCCAAAACGAGCACGATTGCCGACGCGTCCAATGACGGCCGGCAAGGGGGCGGGATTGGGGAAATCCCCAAGAACACCCATGTTTGAGGGACTTTCCACCCTGTTTTTGAGTTTCTGAGGTAAGTTCGTTTATTATTTCCACTGCATATGTTCTTCACTAGGGCTCGTGTATCCCTCAGTAGTAGTGGCATTGAAATTTTCGGACCCTCCCTGAACTGTTGCTTTAAGCGCTGATCCTCAGTCACCCAGCCAAAACTCGCCACTTTTGCTCTCCAATGCGTCAACAGGGGGGGGGCCTTCCAAAATGGCAGAGCAGAGGGAAGGGTGCAAATATGTCACAAGAAGCGGCAAATGTTCTATTTTGTCCATTTTTTGAAGGTTATGTCAAAAAGTTACCAAAACCCCGTCACGGTGACCCCCTCTCCCGCACATCGTTTCGTTTTCCATAATTAACCCCTATTGACCTTCGTCAGCCCCAATAACGAACTCTTCTAGGAACCGTAACTGCAGCCCCCGTCTGTATGGGCCCTACAGCCGGCTAACCCCGGCTGAGGCTCGTTCTCATGAAGGTCGAGGTGGGGTTTAGTAGAAAGCAGCGCATGTCGACGCTAATCGATTCGCGAGGAGAAGCTTAATCGCTCTCGGTAGTCCATTTGGTTTGCACTGTATGGACACAGTAAAAAGTAAAGGAAACATTGTTATTGAGGCATTGTTCAATAAAAATATTGTTATTTCTAGAGTTAGAAACGTGAAGAATTGCGTTGATCCAAAAATGAGCAATAAATAATTATCGTTTGGGAGAATTCTAGGATAATTAATTGAGTACAGAGCATCGCCGGAAGTGAAAACGGCAATCAAGTATTCTTCGTTCTCTTGAACCCTCATAAATCAACTTCTCTCAGCAAACGACTTGCGGCCTGCAAGTGACAGAGTGCTTTTCTTGCGATGCACTTTTCTTGGGAATCTGAGTCCTTGCACTCTTTTAGGCTGACAACGGGAAAAACAACATCTTTTAGCTCAAGAAAATGCTCAGTAGTATCCCTTCTTTCAGAGGAAAGCTGTCCATCAGGTAGTCGTGCGGCCACATTTCGCCATATCTTCGGTCAGTCAGTTCAACGATCGGAGTGGTTTGACTGGGGCGCAGCACTCGGGTCGAATGTCGCAGCGAATCCGAAGTTTGTAGCTGTGGCGATAGATGGAGGAGCTGGAGGACAGAATTGTGGTGGGTCGTAGTTGAATCAACTTTTGTGTGATTTTCGGTCATTTCACTTGTTTCTCTTCTCAACTCGTGCCCTTTACTGAGTATTGTAAGTAGTTTATTCCTAAGTTTTGTTCCCTTAGTTTTCTTATTTCCTCTATTAAGGCAGTGTAAGTGATTTTTGCAGTAATTTCCAACCATGTCAAGTCAAATTCAATTTGAGCGGTTTCACACCCGATGGGGGAGCCAGAAAGTAATCTATCTTCGACTGAAAGTTGTTAATGACCGTGTATTCAAGGTGGTGAAACATTCAGCTGAAACAAAAAGTGATGTCATAACCTTCTAAAATTTCGATAGGTTCTTTGTTAACCAAGAGTGGAATTTTTGCAACGGTTGCTTCATTTTTTCTTGAACGCTAAACTTTGCTAGTTCATTTTTGTTGTCGCACGGCAGGCTGATCTTATTTACTGTCAGAGTCCGCGATCCGATTCGCGCGAATTGCGCGAAAAGGGTCGCGGACATACTTTTCTTAACAGTCTTGCTTTTCATATACTGGAAGCAATACTTTCTTGAACCTTTATATCAAGCCCCTTTTTCTTTACCCTTTAATCACCCTTTATCTTCAACCCTTTATCTCCGCCCTTTATCGTTTACTTTATCAATCTTGTCAAAATTTTTTCCTATTTATCTGTCATGGTGAAAGGAGTAGTGCGTCTCGTGTATCAAAAACAGTCGCGGTAGACAATCTCAGCGTGTTGGGGAAATCCGGCCGCCATCGGCTCCAGGCTTGGGAAATGCCATGGTTCTGCTTCGGTAGAATGTGGAGAGAGTTTTGCATATTCAAGCCACAGGAGTGCTCTAGAAGAGGCAGATCGAATGTCCTTGATGCAGTTGCTTCTCATTTTTAATGTAATATTTTGCATGAAGTGATGCCACGTCAATAGTTAGTATAATAAGCACAAAGTGACAGCGCTTCACCCTAGTTTTGTGACTTCAAAAAGGCTAAGAATCAGACAATAAAAAATTGGTGATTGATTCCACTCAAATTGTGAAGTAGGATGGGAGGTGGACCGCCAGTGGAGAAAAAAGGAAAGAAAATCCTGAAATACACAGGAAATACGAGCATTTTGCTCTATGCTGTGGAGAAGTTCAAAAAGGCAGGCAGGGAGATGAGAGATAATGTGAGCGCGGAGAGCGGTAGAGAAGTCCGAGAAGAGAGAGCATAGCAGATCAACGCAGCGACGCAGACAAGATATCGAACGGTGGGCGGACCATGTTAAGTTTGGTGGAGTCTGTTAGAAGTCCATGAGGGTCCTAGTGACGCGTTTCGATGTAGAAAGGGGGTGCCGGCTAACACCTTTGTCCTCCGCGTATCCAGCACTCTAGCCAAAGTAAAGGGCTTGCCTAAGATGATCCTGAGCCTCGAACTTTGCCTTCAAGTTGGGCCTCACATAAAATCAAATTTCTCATACTCATTTTCAATAAGAGTAGCTTACTGCTCACAGTCTCTAACAAAATTTCGTTAAGGTCGGCTCGCATGATGACTTCGGGAAAACATGGGCGAATTGGCCTTGTTCGGTTGCAGGATCATACGGTAGCTTTGAAGTGGTGCTATGAAGATCGTTTTGGGGCAAGAAAAATTTGCATTTTCAGGGCGCTGTCCTGGACATTAAGTGGGATCACTTCAACGATAATGTGTTGGCGAGTGGTTCAGCAGACTGTTCGGTGAAAATATGTCAGAAAAAAAAAAAAAAGAAAAAAACATAACGGATCAGATGAAGGTGAGATATGCTACTTGTGCATGTTCTGCGGAAGGCAGTCGCTGCGCGGTGTTCAATACAGAGGCAGCTACTGTTTTGAAATTTCCATCAATTCTTTGTATTTGTGATTTTTGGGAAGGTTGAAGTGTTTTGTAAGAATTTCGCTATTGCCTAGAAGAGATGGGAGATGATTTTGGGATATCAAGAAAATCCACAAGTATGAAAAGCTATTTGAAAATTGCTGTTTACTCTCTATTTCCCCAACATTATTAAGCCTTGTTTATCGCACCTAGTTGAATTGTGAATGCCCGTCAGTTCGCATTCGGGGAGACCGTATTTTGGGGGTGAGCAAGTTTAACTATTTCTGGGAAAAGCGTGGAATGGGGCGTCATTAAAAAGGAAGTTGTCCTTGAGACGAGTTTTAACAGATGTCCCCATTGAAAGTAGGGTAACAGCTAGTTAAATTAGTGGATTAAATCTTCATGATATCAATACACCCCGACCTCGCGCTTGTCGGGCTGTTTTGTGGGTTTTGGGGGAGGAAAAAGAAAAAGGACTTGGGTGCTGAAGTTTTGACTGGTCTTGGAATCAAACACTATTGAAATAGCCATGGCAGCAGCACAGTTTGCGAAAGCTTTGAAAAAATCTGTATTAGGCTAGGCTTATTTAATTTTTGATTATCTTATGTCGCGTGTGTTGCTAAATCTACAATTACGATTTTCTTAATAGTCTCCATGTCGTCCTTTCTTGGAACCTCGGCATTTGATGTTATATGTACTGCAATTGTTTTTGTACTATGTGCCAAACGAGGTTTTTAAGATGGAATCTTTATTCACTGGCCTGACGTTTCGACCGCTTCGTCTTCTTCAGAGGCCTGGAGATTGTCGATGATTCCACCTATGCGGAGCAGTAGCTCACGCCCTGTGTTCGTTTTACTGACGTCAACTAACACAGGGCGTGAGCTACTGCTCCGCATAGGTGGAATCATCGACAATCTCCAGGCCTCTGAAGAAGACGAAGCGGTCGAAACGTCAGGCCAGTGAATAAAGATTCCATCTTAAAAACCTCGTTTGGCACATAGTACAAAAACAATTACGATTCTTCGTGATTGACGATTACGTAAGGCAAAAATACCCCCCGTTAGCCCGCTCGACGGGTGTTCCAAAGGGGTAAGGGGCGAGGGCAGTGAAGGTGCTCGTTATTTATAACGCGGTTTTTAATGCTGACTGGAACCTGTTGCAACAACAACGAGTTCCAATCAGCTGGAAGTTAAAACTTTCGGAAACAGAGTGAACAGTATCGTTGTTGAAGGATTACAGCCAGAACGGTTTGAACACCCTAATGCGTCTGCTCCTCTCTTCTTCCTCAATGATTTTTGGTTTTTTTTTGCATGCAAAAGATTTTTGTACAGGCCCAATGTGTACGAACGTTAGTGCGGCATTCACGGCGGGTTGACCAAATCGAATGGCATACCACAGTGGATAATGTGCTGTTATCGGCTGGCGCGGATAGTAAGCTGTTCCTCTGGGACGTTGAAGCCAATTCCGTTATTTACGAGGTCAGCGATTGATTACTCCCCAGATGCGAGGCATTATCCCCGAACAAGAGCTTCAATTGCAGATTTCCGATTTCTGCTCGTCTTGTATAGCGTTCGCGCCAAATTCGTCGATATTCGCCGCCACATCCAGGCAATCTCATCGGTACATTTTTGTTCATTTGGAGATATATTGGCTTGATGATTACGATTCCTAAAGAAATTCATTTTAGGGTCTGTATCTTTGATGCTCGTAATGGTAATGCTATGAAGAGTGCCGTGCTTCCACATGATGGCGGAATGCCTCCAAAGGTGTGTTTAGTTTCTACATCGTTAGTCGAAATGTTGTGGTTCCATTGACTATTTTTATCGTTGAGCTCCATTCCATGAATTGTTTTCGACTAGCTCTATGTGTGAGTGAAAGTGGAAGGGGAAGGTTCACTGGCAGTCTCCTATTGAAATTAAAAGAAAAATCTTGGAAGATCCGGCTCAAAATTTATTCAGGGATGCGCCGCGCATTCTGCTTACATTCACTATCGTAGTGGCATTTGAACAAAATGGTAAAGCATACAATGATTTTTGGGGCTAAAATCGTTATGCATGTCGGCGTTTACAGTCTACCCAGGCGAAGTATGGCTCAACTCCTGGGAATGCAGGGCTCGGTTGGCCGGTGTGAACGGGACATTCACAACTCAAACCCGGGGTCAGGGTGAATAACGGTCGAGGAATCCTCGACCATAGCTCTCTGCTGTGCGAGAGTAGAGCCGAGAGTGAATGTACGCGCGGAGAGCACAGACGGCTCGCGGGTGGCGAGAGTGAATATCCGCGCGCGAGAACGTAAAGATCAGGCGAAAATCCTCGACGTGCCGTTGAGGAATCCTCAAGCC